CATACATACATATACATATATATATTTTTTTAGATCAATAAACATAATGATCAAGTAGATTTTTTTACTTCCAGTAAAATCCTGTTGTTCCAACTAAAACTGCATTGAGAAAAATATTTCAGTCATTCGACACAAATTCTGTTTCTGAAATTAAACGCAAAAAAATAAAAATACAGCTGAAGCAAATTGTCAGTAAAAAATAAATGAAGGCAGAACAAAGTCAAACTTTGTTATTACTGTTGTTAATATTATTATAATAATATCAAAATATAGATAATAAAAAATAATGAGCAATAAAAGAAAACACATTTAGCTTGTTTAAACTCTCAGATTTAAAGATAATTTCAATAGTTTATTTTTCATCTTCTAGAATCAAAGGTAGCCTAATGGAAATCTCTGATTTGACTTGAGCCACGATTAGTTTGCATGAGTGTGTGAATGTGTGAGTGTGTGAATGTGTGAGTGTGTGAATGTGTGAGTGTGTGAATGTGTGAATGTGTGAATGTGTGAATGTGTGAGTGTGTGCGTGCACGGTGGGTATTCCCTATGTCGTAGAACAGTTTTTGGTTTTTTTTGGCATTCACACCTACTTGTAGGAACCAAAGGCTATAGTGGTCAGGGTTAGGCTGTAGAAATTAATTGAAGTCAATGCCAGGTCCCCATAAAGATAGCTTCACCAGACTGTGCGTGTGTGTGTTTATTCGTTAGGGTGTGCTGTGTTAAACCTGCACAAATCATGAGTCAGCGTTGATTACTTCCTGGTGGTGTTGGGAACCTGCGTTGAAGCAGCACTTTCACATCTGCTAATGTTCTGAGACACAGGAGGAAGAACAGAAAAAACACCAGCTGTGACTCAGAGGAGTTACTGAAATGTTCAAATATCTCAAGTTGTATTTGCAAAAACTCTGACCTACAAAAATAGATGTTTTTCATTTTCTGCCTATTCCAAGTTCAAAAGTTCACTTGAACTCGTAGGATTTATAATGACGTCGTTTAAACTGACAGTATTTTTGTGTGAAAGTACAGCGTTCTGGGAATTTCTTCCAGTTCAGCTAAATAAAGTCAAATTTCAACAACAAAAAATCTGCATAAAACAAACAATTTACTGCTACAAAACATCACACAAGAAACCAAAACATCTAACGTTCTTTCTTTCAGGATAATTAAAATCCAAGATGGCCACCAAAGTCACATCCTGAGAAATGCTTGGATTATGTCTTGTGGACGATTTAGTGAAAGCCATTTCTGTGTTGACTGGTTGTGGCGGCCATCTTGAACTGGGATGACTCAAAATGCAGACATGGAGATAAATTGCGGTGTTTCATGAAAGAATTTGCTAAAAGTTAATGTCTCTAATACGTCCAGTTAGAGACTCTCAGCTGTCACCACACCAAATTTTAGCTCCATATCTGTAGAGCTGTGTGCGTATATG